CCAATTTTTTTTAAGTTCTGTTGTTGAATATTATAGGTATGTAAACTCAGCAAAATTGGTAATTTCTTTTGATGTGCAAAAACTTCTCAATAAGAGCAGGTTCCAGTCATTAATTCTTTCAAGTATTACCTGTGTGATTTGATTTTTGTTCAAGAACTTTTGCCTACCCCTGTGTCTTCAAGAGTTCCTCCTACTTTCTCCTCCAGGAAATTTACTGTTTGTTTTAATGTTTAGAACTTTAATCTATTTTGACTTTAGCTTAGAGCATGGTGGTAGACCTGGATCAAGTTTTAGTTTTCGATATATAGAGAACTAGTTTTTCCAGCACCATTTGCTAAAGAGGCTATCTTTCTTCCAATGAGCATGGTTGGCCCATTTGTCAAAGATAAGGTGGCTAGTCTATTCAATTGATCCTCAGGTCTATTTTGTTGCCAGCACTATGCTGATTTCTTCACAGTAACCTTGTAGTATAATTTCAAGTCAGGAATTGTAATGCCTCCTGCCTTGTTTTTATTGCCCAGAATTGCCTTTGTTATTATAGGTCTTTTCTGGTTCCAAATAAATTTTAGGAACAATTGCTATAGGTCAGTGAGGTATCTTGGTGGTAGTTTGATAGGGCTTGCATTAAATCAGTATAGGAGTTATGGGAGTATGGTCATCTTCACAATGTTGGTTCTTCCTATCCAGGAGCAGGGGTTAACTTTCCACTTTCTGAAATCCTCTACAAAATCTTTTTTCAGAGTACTGTAATTTTCTGTGAAAAGATCTTTGACTTATTTAGTTAAATGAATTCCAAGATATTTCATTTTCTGCAGTGCTATTTGTAAGAGGTATTGTTTCTCTAATTTTCCTCTCAGTGTGTTTGCAATCTGTGTAGAGGAATGCTATTGACATTTGGGTATTGACTTTGTATACTGCTATGCTACTTAACATATGCATTTATTCTATTAGCGTCTTGGTGGAGTGTTTTGGATCTTCCAAGTAAAGTATCATGTTATCTGCAAATAATAATAATTTAACTTCTTCTTTACCTATTTTTATTCCTTTTATTTCTTCCTCTTGTCTAATGGCTCTAGCTAATGACGCCAAAACTATATTGAATAGGAGTGGTGATAGAGGACAATCCTGTTTTGTTCCATATCTAAGAGTAAAAGATTTCAGTTTTCCCCATTTAGAATAATGTTAGCTGCAGGGTTGTCATAGACAGCTTTTATCAGATTGAAGTAGAGGCCTTCTATTCCAATTTTCTGTAGGACTTTCAACATGAATGAGTGTAGGACTTTCTCCAAAACCTTTTCTGCATCAATTGAGATGATGATGTAGTTTTTAGTTTTCACTCTATTGACATAGTGTATTACATTTATAGATTTTGGAATATTAAACCATCCTGTATCACTGGAATGAATCCTACCTGATCATGGTGCATGATCTTCTTGATGACTTCTTGTTTCTATTGGCAAGGATTTTATTAAGGGTTTTTGCATTAATATTCATGAGGGAGATTGGCCAGTAGTTCTCTTTTTAGTTGTGTCTTTCTGTGGTTTTGGTATCAGTATAAAACTTACCTCTAGGAATTATTTTGGGAGAATTGCTTCCTTTTCAATTTCATTGAGGAGTTTGACAAACATAGGGATTATATCTTCCATAAATTTCTTATAGAATTCAACTGCGAATTCATCAGCAGCTGGACTTTTTTTTGTCAGTAGGGTTTTTATTATATTTCATATTTCATTGGCTGTCATTGGGTTATTGAGAGTGGTTATATCTTCTTGATTCAGTTTTGATGATTTCTACTTTTCTGGAATCTGTCCATTTCCTCTGTGTCTTTTATTCTGTGAGTAAAAAATTCTCAGAGTACCTACTGATAACATTCTGAATTTCCAACCGGTTGTGGTGATTATACCCTTTTCATTCCTTATTGCTTATAGTTGAATTTTTTCTTTCCTCTTTTTGATAAGGTTAGCTAGGGGCTTATCAATTTCATTTAAGCTTTCAAAGAACCAGATTTTTAATTCGTTAATTCCTTGAACTGTTTTCTTCATCTCAATTGAATTACATTCTACTCTAATCTTTATTATTTCTTCCAGTCTTTGGGCTCTAGGTTGGTTTGCTCTTCCTTTTCTAGATGTCGGAGAAGCAGCATTAGTGTATTTATTTGTTCCTATTCTGTTTTCCTAGTGTGTGAGTTCACAGCTATAAATTTCCCTCTGATAACTGCTTTCATCGCATCCCATAATTTCCGGTAAGTTGAGGTTGAATTTTCATTAAATTGTAGATATTGTTGAATTTCTTAATTTCATCTGTAACCCACTGATTGCTGAGTAAGGTGATGTTTAATTTCCATGTATTTAGGGGGGTTTTCTCATTTCTTTTGTCATTTATTTTGTTTCATTGCACTGTGGTCAGATAATATGCATGGGATAATTTCTGCTTTCTTGCATATACTTAAGCATGAACTCAGGGCTAGTATGTGGTCTATTTCAAAAAATGACACATGTGCAGCTGAAAAAAATGTGTATTCAGCTGTGCTTCGTTGGAACACTCTGTATATGTCCACTAAGTCCATTTCTTCCAACATCTGGTTCAGTTTTTTACTTCTTTGCTAATTTTTCATCTGGATGACCTGTCTTCTTGCGATAAGGGGGTGTTAAGGTCTCCTGTTAAGAATGTGGTCTTGAATATTAGATTTTTCATGTCCATTAAGATTTGTCTTAAATAGGTGGGTGCTCCTATTTTTGATGTATACATATTTATGAGTTTTACTGCTCCCTCTTGAATTTTTCCCCTAACCAGTATATAGTGGTCTTCATTATTTTGTTTCATCATTCTTGGTTTGAAGTTGAGACTGTCTGAGAACAAGATTGCTACACCTGCTTTTTTCTGAGGTTCTGGGGCATGTAGTACTGTTTTCCATCCTTTGACTTTCAGCCTATGAATTTCTTTATGAGTTAAGTGTGTTTCTTGTATACAGTATATTGTTGGATTTTGTTTCCTAATCCAATGTGCCAAGTCTATTTCTCTTAATTGGTGAATTGAGTCCATTTACATTGATGGTTATAGTTGAGATGCATTGACTTATGATTGACATGTTATTTACCTGTTGTTGTTTATTCCTTTTTGTCCTGTGTTTAATTGTTTGCCATATTTATGTGTTCCTTCTGTTCTAGTTTGTGGAGTTCTGATCATTTTGTTCCCTCTCTAAAACATTTTTCAGTAGTCTGTGTAGGGTTGGCTTTGTCATCGTGAAATTCTTTAGTTGTTCTTTGTCATGGAAGTATTTCACTTCTCCATCAAACTTGAAAGAGAATTTTGCACGGTGTAGTAGCCTGGGATGGAATTTTTTTCATAGATCACTTGAAGTATTCTACTCCATGCTTTTCTTGCCTTCATGTTTTGTGAAGAGTAGTCGGCCACAATTCTGATGGGTTTTCCTTTGAATGTGATCTGCTTCTTCTCTCTAGTGGCTTGCCATATATTATTCTTGTGCTGGATTTCTGGGATCTTCACTATTATATGTCTTGGTGTGTTCTTAATTGGGTTGAAGTTATTTGGAGTTCTATATGCTTTGGTTACCTAAATGTCAGGTTGTTTCCTCATATTTTGGAAGTTTTCTGCTATTACTTCTGCCCATATTCTTTTTATATCATTTGTATTGACTCCTTCTTTCTCTTTTGATGCCTATTAGTGTCACATTGTTCATCTTTGCATCATCTTGCAGGTGATAAATTATTTTTTCCTGCATCCTAGCTGTTTTTAAGAGATCTTTTCTTACCTTTTCATGAGCTGCACCAGCGTCTTCAAGATCTGAAATTCTGTCTTCATTTTCACTCAGTTTTCAAGCTTGTGATTGAGATTTTAAGTTCCTCTATATCTCTTTGACTCTGCTTCATGCGATCTATTTCTTTCCTGTATTGCTCATTCATGGAATCCATCATTTTTCTAATCTCCTCTATTTTTTATCAATATCTTCTTTAGAAGCAGCTTTTAATTCTTTTACCGCAGAGGGGTTTTTTTGAGTCTGGTTTCCTCCATATGTTTCTGCATTTGAGTCTTTACTTCAGATGCTATTAATTGAGAGATTGCCTTTTTTATTTCAAGATTATTTCTGCTGAGTTCCTCTATACCTTTCTGCAGTTGTTTCTTTATTTCAGACGCTAATGATTCAGAGATTTTAGCTGTGTGAGTCCCATTTTCTTCTGTTCTAGTGCTTTCTGCACTTGTTATGGGTGGGCTTGGGGTGTGAGATTTCAATTTGCTCCTTCTCTTTGTCATTTCATATGACACTCTCCTCTGACCTTTGTTGTAGAGATTTGGTACAGTTATAACCTTAGCACCTACTGAAATTTGGGTGCACATCTACAAAGTTTGAATTTATCCAGTTGTATCTGGCTTGTATCTGGTCGATGTGCTCAGCTCCTTCCTGTTGCAGCCCTTGAGAGTGAACCTCTTTTGTCCCTCTGGCATGATGTTCTGCTCCTGGATTAACTGGGTGGTTCTGTCCCCTATTCTCTTTATAGGGACTGCAGCTGAAAAGTTTCACCCCAGGCATGTATGCCAGGCCTGAGCTTTGTCTGAAGGGGACAAGGGGTAGCAGGGCAGAGGGGAAGCTCTCCCACACACTCACCGGTCCTGCGCTTGGCCTGGATCTGCTGTTCTCGAGAGTGCACCAGATGTTCTCACTCACTGGGTGGTCTTGGGGGGTCCTCAGGAGTGGAGGAGTCCTGAGGATACAGCAGAGGGTCTCACTCATGTGGCATGCATGGGTTTGGACCAGAGAGGTCCCATGGGCAAAGGTAGCCCTCACAATACTTTGAATTGAACAGGATGTAAGAAAACTTTTTATAAGATTCAGTGCCCTGAAATGATAAATTCCACAAGCCAAACTTCCTTAACTTTACTTTCTTTCCCTGGTTTCCTATAGGCTTTGGTCCTGGTGGTGGTCCTAGGATGGGTGTTTGTCCCTATCTACATCAAGGCAGGGGTGAGTATCCACAGATGCTCAAGGGGGCCTTCCAGGTGCATCATACCTATCCCTTTATTCACTAATTTTTCTTTCAATAATAAAAAGGGATTCTCAGTTTTTCCTTGTCTATTGCTAAGAATATACAAATGACAAAAATCAAAGTCTTGCCAATAAGAGCACCCATTGTGAGATATGACTGCAGTCAGAAGAGAAATCTGTACATGTCCTAAAAATGAACACTGTGAAAGGGAGTCTGCCTTGTGAGGGAACCTGTATGTTAACCACTAGTGTGCTTATAGGAAAGCTTTTGCAGAGTGACCTTACTTCATCCTTAGGGGTTTAGGTCATCTCTGCAGGTAGAAATGTCTCTATCAGTATAAGAGAAACCCTATACAAGTTGAAAATCATGGATAAAATTGGAATATTTGGATATCAGATATGTTCACAATTAAAGTAGATAGGTTTATGGGAGAAAATAGTGGGAGATGAAAGTGGATCTGTAGGTACAGTTGAGGTTCAATTGTGAGTGGCTTATGCATCCTATATTATAGATGTGTCTTGTATGATCCCACGGGCAATATAGTTTTTCCAGCACTCAAAGTTAATCAACAGATTCATGTTATAAGAAGTTCCATTCAGTTGAGGAAAAAAATGACTTGAGCAGGTGGGACATGGAAGGCAACAATGAAGGATTTTTAAAAATAATTGATAAGTCTGTAGGAAGGAGAAAGAACAGAATAGAAGCTGCTCTGGGACAAAGATGACAGACTTGACAGTGGGTAGAAGGTGAAGGGAGAAGGGAAGGAAGCACTATGCACAACTCTAACCTTTGAAGCTAAAATTACTGGGTATATGAGCTGTTCACTAGTGGACCATAATATTCCAAAGTGAAGTCAGATAATATCTAAAAAGAAAAGGAAAAGATTCATTTCATAAATTGGTGTATGCATTGGTCACTTTATGACTTTTAATTAATTTCCTGTTGCTGTACAAAATGTGTCAAGCAATGTTCTTTACACAGAAAGCAGTATTGGACTAGAGAAATAGCTTGGCAGTCTAAGCACCTGCCAGGCAAGTGCAAGAACCCGGGTTCAATCCCTGGCACCACATGCTATGGCAGCCCCACACTGAGCCAGCCACCCAAACCAGGCATGGTAGTGCACACCTGTAATCCCAGCACTGGAGAAGATGAGACAGGAGGATCACTGTGAGTCAGAGCTTCATAGAAAGCCCCAGTTCCAAATAAATAAATAAATATTTTTTTAGAATTTTTTAAAATTTAAAAAAAGAAAACAGTATTTCTTGTCCATTGTTTGTGAGATTAAGCAGCATAGAGCCAGAATCTCCTGGGCTCTCAATAGTGATAGTTAAGAATCAGCAAAGGTAATAATTGTATGTAGAGGTTACTAAGCATGTAGGATGCCTTAACTTTATAGCAACTTACTGTTCAAAGAATTAATTCTGTCCTTTAAAAACTATATTGATCCTTTCATGAGGATGGGGTGATCAGGTTACAACTACATTCCAGTAAACCCCATTTCTAATGGAACTCTCAAACTCAGAACCACTAGAAACTGAATTTCCAATACATGAAATTTTGGGGCAAAAACATATTCATGTCATAGCTTCTGTCCATGACCCCCAAATTTCATAATTATTTTACAATATGAACTACATTCACTCCATGGCAGTACTTCCAAACTGTTAACTTATTGTGGCATTAGCCAAAAATTCAAGGTCAAAACCACATCAGAATGTCAAAGCATGCTCCTAAAAGCTATGAACCTATGAAACAAAAAAGTTGTATACTTCCAAAATAAAGTGACAGCATAGGTATATAATAAATATTCCATTCTTAAATGAATAAATAATTTTACAAGTATGACAGGCCTCCAACAATACTGAAACACAACAGATTAGATACTAGATTTTAAAACTTCAAGTCAGGTTTGGGAAGTTCTTCCCAATAGCTTTGTCTAGCTTAGTCCATCAGGTAGCGCTTGGCTTTGGATTCAGTATCTACAGCTTTTCAAAGTTGATATTTCATACTGCCTATTGCTTTACATTTGTAACATCTTGGATGGGTTACCATTCCCACAACTCCACAAGGCCTGTCCTCAGTGTCAACACCTTGACATATTCATCTCATTAGCAGTTTTCTGCCTGGCCTCTCAGGCTTTCCTTTGAAATCTAGCTGGAAATCATCATGATTCCATATGCTTTTCCTTCCTCCAGACTTCAAAATTAGCACCACATGGATACAACTAATACCCCCACACAGTGTCTGAGGAGTGGTGTCTGAACCCTGCTTCATCCCACTTGAAGCATACCCATTCTGGTACAGCATTTCCCTGAGCTGTGTACATCACAGTCCTGAGGTGAGCCTGGGTAGCAAACTCATGAAGAGGACCCCTCTTCTATTCCCTGAGAACAACCTCTGCCTTCCTAATATTCTAGGCCCATGATGTGAGGAAGAGCTTTGAACATTTCTCAGATGCTATCAACACTAGTTTCCTATTTCCTGATGTCCAGCACCATTTTACTCATAATAATATCAACAAACAGTTGCTGGAGGACCAATTTACATTTCTTTTCCTGGTTCTTGCAAAGGCCAGGTTTCAATTCTTCCTAATTTCTTCTCTGATTCTCTTTTAGATATAATTCTTCATTTGCATCATGCCATTGATACAACACCATACAAGATCATATATTCAATCTCATGCTTCAGTAATGGAAACCATAGATAGAGATTTCATGTAATTCTCTTCCTTTCAAAAAGATAATCATATGACTATACATTAAAAAGTACATTTACAAATAGATTGTCAATTTATTTCTTATTCAAGTTCATGGATAATTATTTGCAGGTAATATTACTTTTAATGACTCAAATCTAAAAGATAAAAGTAGTAATTTCTCAAATGTCTAACAGGCATTTGATGTTATCATAGATACTTCATATCAACTTTCATATTAAACCTCAAACTTATACTTGATAAAAATAGAAAAATACTGCCATTGTTCAAAGATCAGAATATCTAGTAAATATTTGAGCTGATAATAAATTCAAAGATGGTTTTCCAAAGGTGAATTACTGTTGTAATCTATCTCTGCAGGTGGTGACCATGCCAGAATATCTCAAGAAGAGATTTGGTGGGAAACGATTACAGATCTCCCTCTCCATCCTTACCCTCCTCATTAATGTGGCCATTGGAATTTCTGTGAGTTCAATGACTCCTGGCATCTTGCCTCCAAGAAAGTGGAACCAAAGTTCTCAGATCAGAGAACAGAGTAGATAGGCTTTTAATGGTCTTTTTAAAAGGTCAGATGGAAAGCCATCTGGATACCTTGACTTCCTTAGAGTCTCTTTAGAAAACATTAGTGAGAAAAGGTGGACATACCACTTAAAATATAACTTTGTAGGTGAGAATGAACTCTTGCCCGTGATATGAATAATGGTTCATCTAAGAAATAATCATTTTATTCCATGCTAAACTCTATACTATTCTAGAGTCACAGCAGTGAAGTTCTCAGATCTTTTTATTTCTTAGGTTGAAAATCTTATTCACTGATTCTCCATCACCAAAAATAAACATATTTAGAATCAATTTTAGGTAAAAATGTCTGTCAATGTCTAAATAAGTTTGTGTTCGCTAAAAAGAGTAGCATTCTTTTATAAAACCACAGAGAAAATTTTAAAATCCAGGAATTGACCTCAATAGAAATTGTTATCTAATCTACAGTCCTATTAAGATATTGAAAGTTGTTCTGATATGCGCCTTTACATAAATAGAAAATTCTTTGCCATTGCAAGTAATTCTTTATTAGGGAAAATATTTTCTGATCATTATGATATAACTCATGCTCTTCAGTTCTACATTTAAATGATTTAAGAGAAAAGTTTTTTTAATTTTTTATAAAAATATAAAATAGTTGAATAGATTTTTTACTTTCTTCCTAAGGATTCCATTTTCCACGGTGTTATTGTAAAAGATATCATTTCTATAATTTCCCTCCCAGTGTGTTTATTATCTGTGTAGAGGAATGCTATTGACTTTTGGGTATTGGCTTTGTATCCTGCTGTGCTACTGAATTTGTGTAGGAGTTTTTTGTATCTTCCAAGTAAATCATGTCATCTGCAAATAATGATAGTTTGACTTCTTCTTTACCTATTCTTATTCCTTTTATTTCTCTCTCTTGTCTAATGGCTCTAGCTAATGATTCCAGAACTATAATGAATAGGAGTAGTGATAGAGGGCATCCTTGTCTTCTACCTGATCTGAAAGTAAAAGATTTCAGGTTTTCCCCATTTAGAATTACGATAGCCATTGGGTTGTCATAGACGGCTTTTATCAGACCATTTTGTATCTGTATATACAAAATAGTTAGGATAGATATACAGCTACTTTCCTATAATTCAATGAGAAGATAGATTTGTACTAATAGTGTTTGGACAGGACATCCTGTCTGCATCTTGTTCTATGGATAACCAATAAGAAGATAACAATGTATGATATATTAATTATTGAAACTATCCTATTAATCAGTTTTGTAACTCATTGCTATTTGTTTCTCAATAAAATAAACATAAATTAAATAAATAAATAAATCTATTGAGAAACAAACCTAAAGTCATGAAATGTATATCTTTGTCTTCTTGACTGTTCCCTCTTTAGGCAAACATATTTTCTGGTGCCATATTCATCCAGCTATCTTGGGCCTCAACCTTTACCTGGCAATCTTCATCCTCTTGATAGTCACTGCTATTTACACCATCACTGGTGAGTCATTGTGTTTTACTTTGTGATGTTACTGTTTCTTTACCTGATAGCAACAACTTATAATTTGTATCCTTGGTCTTAACTGTCAGGTTAGGTAAGAATACCATTTTTCCCATTATGGCAACCAGACAAAGGACTATAATAAACCAAAGAGTTCTCAATAATTGATATAAGCAGCTGCACTGAGTAAAATGATGTATTGGCTGGGGTACGGAAACTAAGCTTTAGCTTAGCTGTGTATTTGTTACATAAATTGTCATTTTAAAATTTTTATATCATATACATAGCAAATGTGTGTAACAGGGAAACTCAAAATGAAAAAAATGAAGATGAGTCTCAAATTGATACAATATTCCAGGATGTGAAAATAAGATATGATTGCCACAGTTCAAAAAGGGCAAGAACCACAGGATGACTGTGGGGTTAAGCTGTGTGGCAGTAGTCTAAGTAGACTCCCATGAACCAGGGAGAGTGGGGAATGTCTCAAAAATTCCATTTACAAAAACTAAACTGTACAATCTTAGCTATAAGAAATAAAAAAAAAAACAAACTAGAAAGATTGGAAAGTTCTGAAGTTATTTTTCATATAAACATGTTTCAGGTTATATAAAAAATAGAATCTTACTCTCGTGTTTTCCAAATCACTCTTCTTTCCTTCAGACCTTCTTTCAGTTACTTTTCTCTCATTGCCAGGACAAAATACCTGACATGTGAAATGAAGGAAGGAAAGGTTTATTTAACTCACAGTTACTGGAGGTTTCAGTCCATCCTCAGCTGGCTCCAAGACAGAGTTGCACAAAACAAAGAGGAAACATTCATGGCAGCAACAAAGAGCAGAGAGCAAATGGAAGGAGTAGCAGCTACAATGGCTGCAGAGAGCAAGTCGCCCCCCTTAAGTTGCATTCAGGCTATCTGTTCCAAGCTGGATGTAGTACAGACCCATAATCTCAGCAGCACTGACACCCATAACCAGTGTGTCATGACAAACTTTAGAAGACCACCTATGCCTCCTTTGAGGGGACAACTAGCACAAACCATAAGAGGTCTTCCTACAAAAAAATGCAAGTTCAACTGAAAATCGAGTGAATGTAGAATAGAAAATGCCTTTTTGTACATTATCAAAACCACAAATAAATAACTATTTCAAGTATTCAGCTAATATTTATGTTCTACAACTAGAGTAAAAACAGATTTTCTAGAATTTTTAGAGAGCATATAAACAGTGATTAATGGGGGAGATTAAGAGAAATTTTCACGATACCAAATTTTGTCTTTTCTCTATCTAATATTCAGAAGCTAACACAAAGATGGAACAGCACTGTGGTACTTAGACATTCTGAATAAGAACAATACAAGCAAAGTAGAAATACATTATACACATAAGTGCTAAGTCAATAATAATGTCAATACAATGGTATCTCAGCCAGAATATAGTGTATAATTATTTTGTTAATGGCATAGTGCTTTAATCCATACAATTCAAAAAAAAACAGATAAGAGATATATGTGCTCATAGGAACCACCTGTGTTTTTCATTCTTGTCAAAAAAAATTTATTTGTTCAGATACAAAAGAATAGTTTTATAACATAGTGTGTTGGGCATATGCTTATACATAAAATCTCGCATATTCTTTGCTCCATTTGGCTTTCTAGCATTTCCAAGTTCACAGCAAAGTTCTCAGTACAAAACCTTCCTTCTCTGCATTACAACGTATGTCACACTTATTTAACTTTATAGACTCCATTCAAATTTCAGGATCTTGCACAAACAGTAAGCCACAAAATATGACCACTCCTATTTAATAAAGTTCTGGAAACATAAGTCAAAGAAATTAGGCGAGAAAAACAAATAATATGTATAAAAATAGGTAAGGAAGAGATTAAATTATTGTTATTTGTGGATGATACTATGCCTTGCAAAAAGAACACAAAAACTCTACCAAAATACTCATAGATTTAATAACCAAATTCAGTTGTTTCTGGATACAAAGGAAACACTCAAAAAACAATAGCATTCCTGTACACAAGCAACAAACTGACACAGAGATAAATGAAAGAAACCACACCTTTCATAATAACATCTAAAAAATTAAATACTTAGGAATCAATTTAACAAAGTGAATGATCTATATAATGAAAAGCACAGTACTCTTTTTTTGTGGTACTGGGGATTGAACTCAGGACCTTGCATTTGCAAGGCAAGCACTTGTTCTACTGAGCTATCTCCCCAACCCCAGCACAGTACTCTTTAAGAGAGAGAGAGACGG